TATTTTAATCTACACCCATTTTTATCACCATTTAAAGGATTTTTTTCAAATTACCCCTGGAAACTCCCTCTATCTAATAATTATCAGAAAAAAAAAAGAGAGAGGAAAAGGAAAGGGGGAGAGGTGGGAGGTGGGAAAAAAAGCTCACAAGAGGCTGGGAAGCTCTGCTTTGTCAGGGAGAAGAAAATAAAGAGAAATCAGCCCGGCTTCAAAGGGCGCATTTCCATAATTGCCCTGTAACTTTGGCAAAATAAATCTGAGCGGCTGAGAAAAGCACAATCTCTCAGATGAGTGCACTCCAAAGGCCCCGGAGGGCCGCCGGCCACTTGTGAGCGGCCTGTGCAGTGAGAGAATGCAGCCCTGCCCCCCTCCCCGCACAAAAGCTGCGAATCACAGCCTCCCAGTCCCCGGCCTGCTGGTCCCGGAGTGAGACCTTCCCCTGCCTTCATCTCCCTCCCGAGCCCGGGCGCACACGGACACACAGATGCACACACAGGCACTGTTTACGCAGATACGTGTGCACACAGAGAGAGGCACACAGGCAGACACAGAAAGACAAATGCAGACACACAGACACACAGGAATGGACAGAGAGACAGGCAGACACACAAACACGGGCAGACACACAAACCCACACAGTCGTATACTCGAGGGCATCATAAGCAAATAAATAAACACACATTTATGCGCACAGAAGGGCTGGCAGCAGTTGAAAGGTGGCAATGACTCTGAGGCAAAACCCCAGGAGTCGAGCTTTCATCTGTGCAAACCTCCCCGTGACCCGCTCCCGTCACGACATCCAGAGAGGAAGGCCCCGACTGTCCTGATGCATCCTCTTCTGGGCCGACTTTGTCCCTCTCGCCTGGGACGGTCCCACTGCCAGCGGCTCGGGGCACCAGGCTCGGGGCACCAGGCTCGGGGCGCCAGGCTGAGCTGAAACCCACTCTCTTGTTCCCAGGCCGGCATGGCCTCCTCTCTCTCACCCCACTTCCTCCTTCCAGGGCTCAGAGCTTTTAAAGAACAAAAAGCGCCCCACTTAGCACCCTGTCTTCTTGTTTCTGCACAGAGCCGTGGTTCTGGGAGAGGAGACCCGGCTGAGGGTTGCCCCGGACACCTCTCCCTGGCCTCACAGGATGCTGTCCCGGCCTCGGCCCTGCTGACATCTGGACCAGAGAATTCTTTGTGTTCAGGGCTGGTCTGTGCCTTGTAGGACCTTTGTGCTCACTATCTAGGTGTTAGGTGCCAGGAACACTCCTGGCCAGTCATGACAATCGAAACTGTCCCGGCAGAGGGGCATTGTCTGTCGAGAAGCACTCCTAGGGCCTGTCCCAGGTCTCTACTCACTCCCAGGGAGAGAGGCCTCATGGGCTTTTCTACCCAGACAGTCAGGGCGGCACATGGAGGGCCTGGAGCGTTCAGATGGGAACAGTGACTGCGTCAAAGCTACGCTGGTCACAGGCTAGATGGACATCTTTAGTGTGGTCGGCTCGGCCAGCTCGGTCAGACAGCCACTGGTTAGGGTCAGGAGGCGATACTGGAGAGGCGGTGGGTCCCTGTCACTCCCGTAATTATCTTTAGGTCCACACCTTCTCATTTGTGCCCAATCGTAGACAACAGGGGATATGTAAGGAAATGTGGACACATTCTTCTAGTCCGGTCCCCTCCGTGCTGCAGACGGTGAGTGGGAGGCCCAGAGAGAGGATAGGACTTGCCCCCCTCTCAAGTGAGAGGTACCTCTAACCACGGACACGGTTCTGCACACCTGCAGTTAATTGTCCATTTTCATCTGATGGAGGTAGAGGGTATGTGCAACCCGGGATTACAGGGTACAGAAGACATTTCTAGAAGGATACAAGTAATTAGGCCCAACGTGAGTTCCTGACAGAATCTCCCACCCAGTCCCTCTCTCTGACCTTCCATAACTTGGGCCTAAGACAGCAGACCCGTTGGCCCTGACTGTGCACCTGGAGACCCCCCAGCCCAGCAGGTGAGGGCTCGCCCTCTCCTCACGTCTCACCTGGGACAGGTGAGCGGCTGGAGCATCCCTTCCTGTCCCGCAGCCTCCAGCCTGTCTGTGCTGCCTTCAGACTGGATTCCACTTCCTCCTCCCCGTATTCTACGGGAAAGAAATTCCATTGGCCACCGGGAATGTGCCAGTCCCAGAGGCGGGCCATCACTTAGGGAGATGATTCTATTCTCCGGCCCCATGCAGATAATGAGGGAAGCGGAGCCACACACTCCTTCCTCTGACCTAATTGATTATCCCCACACACCTAGGAGTGCTTTGCATAACCAGCCCCGACAGCAGGAACCCCTTCCAGGAGGAGTGATTGACACATTTTATTTCTAATCGAAGCTTCAGCAGGACCAAGGAAGAGATCCCCATCTCTTCCCCATCTCTCTCCTCCCTGGCTTCCTTTTTTCCCCTCCTTCTCTCCCCGAGCTTCCTTTCTCCTTTCTAAGCTGTAGGGCTGGACCGTGAAGGCTAGAGGCCGTTCTAGGATCCCTGAGAGGAAGGAGCTGAGGGGAGGACCCAGGGAGGAGGTTCTGGGAGGAGGGTGAGCAGCCTGCTTCCTGGTGAAATGGAAAGGCAGCCGAGGGGAGCTGTCTCCTCTTCCCTTTCTTGGCTGAGAAGCCTGAGCAGGCTTTTCCCTTTTGTTCAAGGCTGTCTTATTGGAGTCGTGTTAAAGCAGGTGAGGGGCCCACGTGCAAACACGGGAGCTGCTCTTGAGTTTACTCTCCTCTGGCACCCACTCATGCTACTCTCTCAGTGGGCCAGGTGGGTCTCCTCCAGGGACCATGGTCCATGGAATGGGGTGGGCTGAAGGGTGAAGGGCACTCGGGGGTTTTCCCAGGAGAGAGACCGGGGACAGGAGCTCAGGTCTGTCCCGCTCTGCCTGGCCTCTTGACACCCACTCCCTCCGCACGGAGGAGGCTCGTCTTCCCCCTTGGTGGGCCCTCGGCGTGGAGAGGCCGCCTGGCTTTGCTCTCACCTGCTCTCCCTGCCTGGGTGGTTTCCTTTTCCCAGGTTGAGTTGGGTTTTGAGAGGCCTCGACTCAGAGGCCTCACTTTTAGGGTGACAAGAGGGGGTGTGGCAGAACGCTGCCAGGAGGCTGAGGGGGTGGGGGTCTGGGATTCTGGAATATAATTGCAGGACTCGGGCGATCTACCCTCACCCACCACATGCCAGCATCCCCCTGTGCTTTGACAAATACCCTTCACCCCTAGAGGTAGGTGTCCATTCCCACTGCATAGCTGAGGAAATAGGACACAGAGGAGTTAATTATCTGCTCGGGATTTCACAGGAAGTGGAGGGGGCGGGGGTCCATGTCACAGTGAAGCTCGGGAGGTACCAGCCAGGGCCTCTGGGGGTGTTGTGAAGCTGAGCATGCTAACAGAGGCCGCCCCCCACCTCCCCATCCCCCAGCAGTATCCCAGGCCAGCCTTGGCCTCGGAGGTTTAGGGCCCAGGCCGCTGGAGCTGGCTGCATGTCTGGGAGGCGCTGGCAGTGTCCAGGGCCAGAGCCAAACCACAGCCTCCCGGCCACCAGGGAAGAACCCGAACTCCAGAAGAAAGAAAGTTAAGAGTTAAGGGGGAGCTGGGAGAAGAGGGAGCAGCAGAGAGGCCTCCCGCCCACTGGGAGCAAGGAGCACCGGTTTCTGACCTCCTCTGCCTGGTGTCCTGTCTCTGCGTCACCAGCTCTGTGTGACCCCGGAAGGCCCGACACTCACACTCCTTCCCACTCACCTCTGGGGCCCTGACACAGCTCAACTACCCCAGCCTGAGTGGGGGGTCCCCAGGGTGGGGCGGGTACTGGCAGCTGCATCTGCATTGGACCAGGCCTTGCTGGACCCCCTCCGCTTGTATGCACCCCCAAGTTGTACAGTGTGACGCGTGTTCATGGTTTCTGGCCTGCAAGCTCTTCCCAAACCTCCCTGGAGACCCATGAGATTGTCACACGCCCCACTATGCAGGGCCAACACCTGGCAGCTGCCGCCTTATAAACATACTAACTAAAAGTGAGGAGGGAGATGCAAAAAAGGTACCCCCACTTTGTACCCCAACTCGTCCCTCTCCCTGAATTCCTTACAACTTCAAGTCCGAGTTGGATGCTGGACTGAAAAAGGAGGGCAGGAGGGGTCTGGTGCCTGGCCCAGCCTGGAGGCCTTGGTGGCCCACACCGAGCGGCCCTTCTGTCCTGTAGAGGGAGCTCCAGCCCCAAATTTCCCGACTCCCTCCCCTGGTCGGCCCGGACCGGTCCTGCCTGTAGCCTGAATCCCGCCTGGGTCTGTGCTCCTGCCTGGACCCTCCGCGCCCGGGCCTCTGAAGGCTGCCCTTGAGGGCACCCGGGCAAAACCCACTGCAGTGCCAGGCGCGCAGATGCTGCCATATCCTGGGGCCCCCAACTCTGAATTCGGGCTGGGCCCAGGAACCAAGAGGGAAGGATGTGCGCCCCTAAGCTCCGCGCTCCACTGTAGCTTCTATGCGGGGGAGTCTGTGGCTGCAACGCGGTTGGAAGGGGGCTTGGAGCTGAGCGTGCATGGCTCCCTGTATAAGGAACTAAGCTCAGTTGTGCCAATCCAAGAGTGGGGGCACGAGGAGGGTGAGAACCTCCCAGCCTAACCCCTCCGCATGCAGACCCTCCCTTAAGCTTCCTGCGCTGTCACTAGACGCCGCAAGACCCCGTGGTTGCCTCTGTGGGCCGGCCGGTGGGGGGCCGCTTTCTCACCGAGATTCCTTGCAGGGAATCTCGCGCCGGTTCCCCACCTGCCTCCTCTGCCCTTCCTGTCCGGAGCCCCGGGTACTTCTCCAGCGGCGCCCCCAGCCCCGCCACTTCCGCGCCTCCAGGCTCCTCGGCTCACGCGGTCCGGCCCGTCTCTCCTCCGCTTCTGCTGATTCCAGCGACTCTTACACATGGACGGTGGGGGCGAGGGCGGAACACAGCGAGTAAAACCCAGCAAACAGATCCCTCTGGGGGCAGCAGGCGGGTTGTAGTCAAAGTGGCAACAGCTCATTTATTTAGCCAAAAATAGATACTTTCTTGTACAATTCGGTTCACACATATGTACATTTTTCTGTATATACAAACAAGTCAGACACACTTACTCGCACTGAAACTCCACCCCCCCAAAATCAACCTTACAAACCAATTTCACCAACTCAACTAATGTGGGCACAGACGCGACTTGGGGAGAACCCGGGGGGACTTGTTTGATTTCTTTTTATTTTTTTGTTGAGTTTTCTTTTTTAGGTATTCATACACAGACATGCTTACAAGTCATAACTATACAGAGCGATTTTTTTTACAATTATTACAATTATTTTTTTTAAAATTTTAAAAGAACTAGGATGAGGAGAGAGCTGACAAGACCAGCGCAGCGTCCAGGTGGTTCTGGGGCCTGCAAGAGAGAGGCAACGGTAGCAAAGGCCAGGAGAGAGAAGGGCAAGCGCAGTGCCTAAGGCTGGGAGACCCAACCGGGGCGGAGGCCGGGGGCAGGGAGGTGCCGCACGGTAATCGTGCCGGCTCTGGCTACTGGCCTTCCCGTTTAACCGTTAAGAGTGGAGAGGGCTCAGCCCGGAGGCTGGGGTCTGGGAGGAGGGAGGTGGGCCCCAGGGGCCGGCTGGCAGGGCTGAGCACCAGACCCTCAACCGCGCGGCAAGGACTGGGACCGAGCTGTCGCACCACCTCGGGGCCCTCGGAGACTACGAAAGAGTGTGTTGTCCCCTTTTAAAAGTTTGTCCCAGCTGCGTTCCCTGGGGTGGGGGCAAAAAGCCCGCGTTTGCTCCGGTTCTTTACTTCCCCAGCCTGCCGGTCCCACATTCCGCCCACCTCCGCGTCTCTTACCGCCTGGGCACGGGCTGGAAAGCTGTCTTGAGTAACTTTTTCTCCACTTCCAAGGCACTACAGCGATCTAAGGGAAGCGAGGGAGAAAAAGGAGGGCCTTTAGGGCACTTTGTTCTGGCTCCCGGGGCCGTGGGAGGCAGGCGCTAGGCGGTGAAAGCCCTGAGCCCTTGGGGTCCTGCCCTCCTTCTCCGGCCGCACGGCGATCCCCAGAGCCCGCTCCCCACCTCCCTGCGTTGAGCTGAGCAGTCACCTGTTCCGCCCTCCGGCTCCGCGGGCCGAGCGAAGGCGGCTGCGGCGGTGGCCTGGTGACCCGCGGCTCCGGGAAGTCCCAACAGGTGTGGAGGGGCTGAGCCGAGCAGGGAGAGAGGGTGCGGGCGTGGGCCGGGCGGCGGGCCCGGGAACGGCCGGTTGGTCCAAGCGGGGAACTTGCCCAGCGGCGCAGAGACGAGTCTGTGCGCCGCGGCCGGGGAGAGCTGCAGGGTTGGGGGCGCGACAGCTGCCCCAGGAGGAGAGCCCCCCGCGCCCGGAGGCGAGCGGCGCGGGTTGTCGGGGCTTGTGGCCGTCTCGGCCAGGGACCAGATCTTGGGCTTCTGCAGGGCAGAGGCGGGCGCTGGAGCGGGAGCACAGGGATCCAGGCCCGCGGGGGGCGAGGGCGGAGATGGCGGAGCCACGGCCATCGGCGGCTGTACTGGGGCCAGACTCAGGGCCGGCAGCGGACGCTCCTCCAGGCCCTCGGAGCTGTCGTCCGAGTCGCTGTTCTTGGAGTCCGAAATGGGTACCAGGCCGAGGCCCTCGTCCCGGTGCGCCGCCCCAGCCAGGCCCAGCTCAGGCGTGGCTGCGCCGTCTACGTTCTCCAAATCGATCTCCTCGTCCTCCTCGTCGTCGTCCGCCAGGCCCTCGCCCCCCGCGTCCTCCTCCTCCCCTCCGAGCTCCTCCTCCTCCAGCTCCAGCTCGCGTTTGCCGTCGTCTTCGTCGTCCTCCTCGTCTTCCTCTTCCCGCTCGCTCCCGTAAGCGTTGCCCTCCTCGTCGGTGCGGCTGCGGGGCGCCCAGGTCATCTTGTTCTCCTTCTTGAGGCGCCGGCGCGCGTTGGCGAACCAGGTGGACACCTGGGTGAGGGTCATCTTGGTGATGATGGCCAGCATGATCTTCTCGCCCTTGGTGGGGTAGGGGTTCTTGCGGTGCTCGTTGAGCCAGGCCTTGAGCGTGCTCGTGCTCTCCCGGGTGGCGTTCTTGGGACGGGACGGGTCTCCGAACTGGTACTGGCCGTACGGGTAGAAGGCGGCGTGCGGGTGCGGAAACGCGGCTGCCGCGGCCGGATGCTGCACCCCGGGGCTGTCTTTCAGCTCATACTGGGCGCCCTGTACTCACGTGGGGAAGGAAGGGACACGCGCGCGGAGGGAGCGCGGATGAGCCCTGGCCGTGGCGGCCTCCACGCCCCCCCCCCGCCCGGGCCCCGCTAGTCCACTCCCGCCCGCTCACCCCGTCCGGCGCCCCAGCTCCCACCCCCTCGTTCCCGGCTCCTCGGGCGCTTACCAGCTGCGGGAAGATGGGCAGCTCGGCCGCGTAGGGCAGGAAGGCGCCGTAGCCTTGGGCGGCGGCTGCCGCCGCTGCCGCCGCAGCGTAGGGCGCCCCGTACACGGACGAGAGCACATTGGACAGGGATCCCGAGGCGGCCAGCTCCGAGGCTCCGGCTCCCGGGCCGCCCCGGGCCCCAGCGCTGCCGCCACCAGCGGCGGCCCCCGGGCGCTCGGGTGGGTAGAGCGGGCGGATGTACTGGTATCCGAGCTGGGGGAAGGACATGGTGGCCCGCGGGGCACGGACGGAGAGGGGGTCCGGCCCCCGGGGCCGCCCTGCTCAGCGCCACCCGCGGGCTCCGGCGCGCATCGGGGGCCGGGCCGGGCTGGGGCCGCGCTGCCTCCCGCGCTGCGCGGCGCTCCGCGTTCACCTATTGATCTGCTCGGCGGCGGCGGCGCGGCGGCGGCGAGGAGCCAGGTCAGGTCCGAACAGATTGGCGAAGATTCCCCCGGCTCCGGGCTCTGATTGACATTTCCACGGGCCCGCAAGCCCCTCCTCTCCGCGCCGCGCTCCCTCCTCTCGCTGCCGGAGCTGCCTCTGCCCGCGCCGGGCTCCTCGCTGCCCTCCTCTCCCCGGCAGGGTCGCGCCACGCTTCCTTCGCCCTCCTCTAGTTCTCACTCCTCCTCCTCGCCCTTCCTCTCCCCTCCCCTCCGCGCGCTCCTCTCCCCCCAGGATCGCTTCCGCTCCTTCGGGCTCTTTACCCCTTCTGGGCGCTAGGAAACTCTGTCCTTTCTCCTCCTTCCCTTTCTCTCACGATTTCTTTTCCTCCCCTTTCCGTTCCCTTTGCTCTTTCCCCTCTCGCTCTTCCCTCACATAACACTGTCCCCGCCCCGCCCCGGCCTCTGCGTCCCGGACTAAGGCGGCCTCAAGTTGCGCACAGTTAGGGTGCTGTGCGGGGCAGGGGTGGGAGGGAGAGGTGTCCGTCTCGTCTGTGTGTCCGTCCCCGCCCTGGCTCCCTCCCTCGCCCTTCCCCAAATCTCAGGTCTGACGTCGCGCCCTCTTATTCGACTTTTCCTTGCGTCTTCTTCCCGAGTCGCCAATCGCTGGGGAGCCTCACTGGCGAGGCCGCCCACCCCCGCGAATACCGCGCGCGGGGCGGGCCGGGTTGGGGGGCAGGACCCAGCGCTCCCAGCCCCTTCCCGCCCCCTTTGGCCTTCTTGGAGCGGCTCGGGTGGAGTAGGGGGAGGAGAGGCTTGGGGACGGGGGTTGGTACGGGGTCAGTTCCCCCCTCCCGGTTTCCCGCCGCTCGGTGCCTCTCTCCCTGCCCCAGTACGGAGCCTGGGTCGGACCAGACCTGGGTCCGGGGCCAGTGCCGGGGCCGTAGTCAGCCCGGGCCCCTTTCTCAGGGGGCTGGCCACTCAAAGCAGCGTGGGGAGGCAGGAGGCAGGTAGAAGGTGAGGAGGTGCATTGTAGTCATACGTTCAAAGGCCATCTCCCTGCTCAGGGGGTCGAGGCTGCCCCCAATCCGACAGAACTAAACCCAGAAACTAGCCACGTTTACGCCGCCTCAGTGTCTGGGTGCAATATATATATATATATATATATATATGTTAGAAATGGCAGGCTTGGCCTACGAAGGGGTCTGCAGGGTGGACGCCCCGGGAGTCCTGGGGGAGCAACGACCCGAACGTGGATCCTGCCCGCGCCATGAGTGGGCGCAGGAGGGGGAGGAGCCGGGTGACGAAGGCTCCGGCAACTTTCCGGGAGCGCTTTGAGAAGTTGGCGCGTCGGAATTTTCTGTCTGCAAAGACCCTTCGTTCCGCTGCTGCTCTTCCCCTGCCCCCCGGCCTCAGCGCCAACCTGTGATCTTTCCGCGAGGTTTTTCCCACGGGTTCCGGTGGGGAAGGGAGGCGAGACTCTTAGTTTTATGGTAGGATATACCCCAGTCTCCAAGCGCCCACCTTCACGGACCAGGGTGTGCCTCCGAGAGCTGGGAGGAAATCCCCGGGATGGTGGCGGCTCCGGGCGGAGCGCTTTAGGCCGCGGCGGCGACGGACGCGCGCAGGCCGACCCGGCGCTGGGAGCGCTCACGGACGACACCAGGGCGGTGACCGTGCCGTGGAGACGCCGGCCCCGGCCGGGAGGCAGATGGTGGCCGCCGTGCGCCCATTGACAGAGGAGTTGCGTCCGAATTCCAGCAGAGGGGAGGGACCGGAGGGTCCCGGCCCAGCTGTCTCCGGTCTCAGCAGCTCCGCGGAGCCCCGTTAGGGAATGAACTCGCGTGGGCACCCAGTTTTCATTCCATCCCCGCTCCCCGCCTCTGACCACCACTCTTCGCACACTGGTTGGAGATCCCGGAGGTGGGAGGACGCTGAGAAACTTGGGGGGGAACACAAGGGAAGGTTTGGAGGCAGACGGGTGTAGGGTTCAATGGGGATAACCGACCGGTGGCCTTCTCGGAGTGGGGCGGGCTGCTGCCCTAAGCTCCCCCACACCTGACTCTGCGGGACCCCCTGCGTGGGCCGCAGCCGGAGTCTCTCCCGAGAAGGCGGCATTGGGGAGCTGCGGCTTTGACATGTTTCCCAAGCGCCTGATTTTTGTTTCGAGTTAAAACTCTCACAGAAGTGGCGCAGGGGATCCTGAGCTCATCTCGTCGGGAAAAATCTCGGGTTCAGAATTGAAGGTAACGATAACACGATTTCCCGGAGTACTGCCCAGGTGTCAGACGGGAGGCTTGGCATCTCTGGTGCCCTGGCGCTGGCACCGCAACAGGGCAGCGCGCACAGCCCCGTGCGGAGGTAGGGAAACTGGGGCTGCGCTCTCAGGTGCCCGGATGAAATGCCCGAAATCTAACTCCGCTCTTCCAGCAGGAAAGGAGAAAGCAGTGAGCCCTGGGGGGTATTTCTTCGGCATTGACCAGCTTTTGACCTGGCCGTGTCGGACGGCAGGAGGAGGTGGGAAAGGCCAGGGACAGGGATAAGGCTGTTCTCAGGGAACGAGCCCGAGGAGTGGGGGGGCGGGGCATGGCCCAGAGGGGGAACCTCCGGACCCAGAACCAGATAAGAACCCGAGAACTTGGATTAATTAGCTCTCTCCAGGCGCCCGGATCCCAGGCAGAAACGGTCTCTCCGCTACCCTGGTCTTCAGCGCAGCTGGTCCCTGCCCTGGCCTGGACAATCCGAGCCCCGCGCTGGGACTCAGCGTCTAGGCAGCCGGGCCCGGACGTGGCGCCGGCTCCCCACCTCCGCCGAGGCAGTGGAGCCTGGCTCCGGGCTAAACTGGCGAATCTGTGGACAACCGAACCTGTTCCAGGGGTTTTTAATCCAAGAGATGGGGTCAAAGTGACACACCGCAGAGGGAGGAAAAGCAGGTGCACTGGGAAGTTGATTTGGGAAAGGCTCGCGCGCACAAACGCCTTGCACGCGGACGCTTCTCCATCATCTCGCCTTCTTCCAATGTTCCCAGCGCCCAGAAAAGCTCCGGAGGCTTGCTGTAGAGGCTCACTCAACGTGGCCCAGGGTGCGGAGTGCACCCACAGGGGTGTCCAGAGCAAACGCTTTGGCGCCCAAAGTAGCGCCGGCGGGATCCCGACGTAAACCCAGGACTCTCGGGGCTGCCCTACACATCTGCTCACCAGCGGAGAGTCACCTAAGCCACTCTCTGCCCCCTCATCACCCAGCCCCTCGGGCCGCCGGCTGCAGCCCGGGCTCTCTCCGCCTAAGCCACTCTTCCATCTTTCTATCCCGGGCCTGAGATCCCGGCTGCAGGGAGGCCCAGCGATCCCTCGGCTTCCTGCAGACGCCGGCGCACGCTCCCACCGCTCCCTCCCCCCGCGCTCGGGTTACAGGTTAATGAAATGCTCGTTTTCCTCAGTCATTTGTTTTGTTTTCCTGCAAAGTTCTGATAAGTAGCTAACCAACGAAGCTTGTAATTACAATCTTACAGAAACCGGGCCGATCTGTATATAAATCTCACCATCCAATTACAAGATGTAATAATTTTGCACTCAAGCTGGTAATGAGGTCTAATACTCGTGCATGCGATAATCCCCTCTGGATGCTGGCTTGATCAGATGTTGGCTTTGTAATTAGACGGGCAGAAAATCATTATTTCATGTTCAAATAGAAAATGAGGTTGGTGGGAAGTTAATTTCTCTCCGCTCTGTGAAGCGTAGACAAGAATTTAATGATTTAATTACAGTTGTAAGCCCTTTCCATGAGACTTAAATTGAGCTGAGAATATTTTTTTCCTTCTCTCTCCCCCTCTCTCTCTCTTCCACATTCTCTCTCCTATTAGCAGTCGCAGGGACGCTCGAGTGCGGGGCCTGGTGTCCCCACCGGGAGGGATTTACAACTGGCCAGGAATCCTACCCTCCAGTATTCCAGGAGGTGCGGCCCGGGCCTCCAGAGCCGCCCCAGGACGGGTTGCTGCTCCCCATGGGCCTCAGAGCTCTTCCCTGAGTCCGGAGAAGCGGCAGGGAAAGTAGGAGAAACTTTGCCAACTTTTGTCAGCTTGGGAAAGGCGGCACGCACGGCCGCGGTACCCGGCGGCAGCTGCGCCGCGCTGGATGATGGGTCCCCAGCCACGCCCCAGGACCAGGGAGCAGGCCTGACTGGCCCAAGGAGAGGCGCAAGGCTGGCCAGAGGGCTGCTTGCTTCCCCACTCCACCCCTGCGCTCCCCCCACCTGGCCCGCAGCCCCTCCGGCCCGCACGCAGAGCAGCCCGAAATACGCAGTGCTCAGAATGGCTTGGATTGGAAAAACCTGGGCCAGGAGTGCAAGCGATTATTTTTACCTCTCCGGGACCATCCTTCCCCACCTGACTCAAGCAGTCTCCCTCCCTCGCCCTCCTTTGTCTTTCTCCACGGTGGTCTGTCTCCCTCACTTTCTGTGAATTCCGTTCTGGGGCACTCATTTTTCTCTCCTGCACTCCCTCCTTCGCTGTGTTGTTTGGCCCCCACTGGGCCCCTTTTCGGTTCATTTTTCTCAATTCTGCTCCCCCCCCTTCCTTATTTTGTCTCTTTCTTCCCGTCCCTGACTCTGGGACTGTGTCCCTCTCCTCCATCCTGGTCTGTCGTTCTTTCTTTCCTCTCCTTCTCATCCTAATCTTCTGTTTCCTTCTTCGATGTCTTGGTCTGTTTCTCAGGTTCTTCTTCCTGCGTCTTTCCTCTCTTCTCCTCTTCCTGTCTTGGGTCTGACCCCTCCCCCCAGTGGGTCTGCCTCTCCATAGGACCCCCTCCTCATCCATCTTGGCAGATGAATATGTCGCCTTATTGGATACGAGGCCAGAGCCGGGTGGCGGGGCTGGCCAGCCTAGCGCGGTTTCTTCATGCATATTGAGGAGATGGTAATGAGGACATTTGCATTGTTGCATGGAAATGCTGTGTTTCCTCCCGAGGTTCAGATCGGGAGAAGGTGGCAGGGTGGCGCAGGCTCAGGAGAGATCCTCAGTGGGCACCCGTCCTGATGGCCGCAGCTGGCCTCCAGTGGGTTACTGGGTACTTGGGGACCTCGGGGAGGAAGTGACCTCGCAGAGGGGGAGCCTGACCCATCTCCTTGGGCTTCTCCACAGAGGCCGGTGAGCTCCCCTCATTAAAGCCTCATATGAAAACTCTTCCTTGCTTGCAATAGTGCCTTCCTGCCCCTCCCCCCCCATGGGCCCCTGAGCTGCCTCCTCTGGTGTTTCCAGGCCTGTGACCGAGCACCACCAGGAAATTCGTGCCTGACAACGTGATCTAACAGCAATAAATGGTTCGTAGTTCCTTGTGACATGTCACAGGATCAAACACAGCCACACTGTATCCCCGCTGCACCTCCTCCTCCTTCATCTTGGAGGGTATTGGCATCACAGGGCCAGGGAGGGTGGCTCACAGGCCCCTTGGCTGTCCAGAGCCCTCTCCAGCCTGGGCTCAGCCAGACAGAGCTGTCCCGTGGGATCCAGTCACTCAAAAGGGACATGTCCCTCCCCTCGAAGATCCAAAGAGCTCAGGAGACAGGACCCAGAC